GTTAATAATATAGAGTCGATTTTAGGTGTAAAACTATATTTATAATACAATATTTGTATACTTTATTGCGTATACTCTATACTCAAGCATTTTCAGCCGCTGTGCCATACATAGCACAGGGGTATGTCAAAAAAATTTGTAAAACATACAGCACCTGACTGGATAGTGAGGGGCACTGACCTCTTTGCCCTTAGGTTGTCAAATTAAAAAATGACAACAGCCAACAGAATAGCATTCCCATGTGTATGAATCAAAATTATTCCTATTTTTGTCAGATCAACAAAAAATGCAATATATATTTTTGTGTGCCACAGAATTGTTGTAATTAGTTAATGTGTGCCACAGATGAAAAATGTTGATTGCTATGGCTAGGGACTTCCAGTACTGTGTTGACTAAGAGAGGTGAAAGCGAACACTCTGTCTTGTTAACGATCTTAAGGGGGAGTAGAGGGAAGATACCTAAACGTAATAAAGGTCATATATGACAGGCCTACTGCCAGCATCACACTCAGCTGGAAGAAGGTTGAAAATTGCTGCCCTGTTGTGTGCCCAGCACCCAGAGTCTGGTCTCCTTCCATCACCTTGTATTTGACCTTCTGTACCCTCTGTGTCCTCCCCTTGCCACCCTTCTCATCTGCTAATCTCCTTCTGTTGTCTATGTGTGTGTTTGTTTTTGTTTAAAATTGTTTGTTCATTTGTTGCCTTTTGTTTTATATTGCACATATGGGTGAAATCTCCTTTTTCATCTGACTTCACTTAGCATAATACTCTTAAGGTCCATCCATGTTGTCACAAATGGCAGCATTTATCCGTTTTATGGCTGAGTACTACTCCATTGTGTATGTGGAGGACATCTTTATCCAGAGTTTTTTCCATGTCTTGTTTTGCCTTTTGAGGCATTTCCTTCTACCCTGTACACCCCATCTCCCTGCGAGACTCCCAGAGGTATTGTCATTCCAGATGTATTGTTAGAAAAACAAGAAGAGGACTGGGATCTCGGAAGCACACCAGTGCCATTGCCTTTTGTTGTCACATGGTGTTGCTCTTGCAGCTAGTTCTGTGCATCACCTTGGGTGTGTGTCTGCTCAGGGGCGAAGCTCTTGCTGGTCCAGAGCTTTGCACAGACTTCTGTGGGGCCATACAGAAGTAAAACAGTTGGGCATCATAAAACAGTTCACATACTTAGAAGCTCCGTTATTGACTTCCACATTACTGTACTGTGCCACATTGATAGGATATGGAGGAGCGACCAGAATCATTCATTCACTGAACAAATACTTAACTGAACACTTTGTGCCTGGATACTGCTCTGTCCACTTGAAGTAAAAATAGTGAATAGAACGAAACAAAAAGTTCCTGCCATAATGGAGCACATTCATTTTGAGTGTTGGAGGGAGGGAGAGAAGTGGCAGAGATAGACAAGATAAAGTATTTATGCTATGAAACATCTATAGGAAAGGCCTATGCATGAAATCCTGACATTTAAAAATTATTTTGTATTTGTTCCATGTGGAGCATCAATACAGTTCTAGTGAATATAACAAAGAAGAGAGTCTGGGTACCTGATAGATTTAAAACCACAGTTGGCTGATACCTTCTTACCAGATCGTGTAAGCACTGTGGCCACTGTATATACTGGTACATCATGTAGCTATTCAAAATATTGGTATATGTTTATGAACATGGAGAGACGTTAATGGTAAATGGAAATGCAGGTTAGGAAATGATACATTTAATATGATTGCACTATTAGTGGGAAATACCCCCGAGGTTTCCTTCCTGAAGAGGGAGTTCCATTAGTGGCACCTGACTTCCCCTGCTCCTGTATTCTCTCCATTTCTGGTGTAATGATGTTTCTGATTGGTAAACTTGCAGTTAGTGGGCCCCGTTGATGCTCTTTGTCCATGCAGGAGCTAGCTAGTCTTTCCACACCCACTGAGTGATTTCTCATCTATTTCTCATTGGAGTAAGTTGTGCAGGGACTCCCCCTGCGGGGGGCGGTCTGCCCCTGGGTAGTGCTAAGGCGTGCCCTCCTCTGGGGTTCGCTGTTAGCAAGCCCAGTTGTCCAGCATACCTAGAGCTTCCATTCGTAATAACAGCAGTGTTCTATTTTTTGTGTTGTTTCTCAATGTATTTGTAATTGGCAGGGAAGGGGTTATCAGTTTTGGGGTGCAGTCTTTGGACATCTCATACCTATGGTCCTATTTTATTTAGTTTTACTGGTATTTTTATTTTTCTGTTTATGTATATAGAAGAAAGTCTGGAAATATATGTGTCATAATTTTCAGAGGTTGGTAGATTTTTTCTTTTTCTTGTGTGTACTTTTGAATTCACTAAATTTCTTAGATATGTTATTAAATAGTTAAACATTTTTAAAATTTTTATTTATTTATCTTTAGAAGGGAAGGGAAGGAGAGAGGGAGAGAAATATCAATGTATGGTTGCTTATTGTGCATCCCCTGCTGGGAACTAACCCCTGCTGGGAACTGGCCTGCAACCCAGACATGTGCCCTGACTGGGAATCTAATAAATAGTTAAACATTTTAAACCTCTGGAAAAAAATACATCCTAGGCTGACTTTACAGGTAGAAGAATTAGTCATCTCTGTACAAGGGAAGAAGCTGGACCTGGGTAGACAATATTTCTACCTATGAAACTTGGTGCTTGAATATAGAACTTAATGCAAGGCAAAAAAAATCCATTACTTTTCTAAAACCTCTGGCTTGTCATTTCTTCACATGTGTCAAAAATAATTACTCGCTATCCATAGTGTTAGGCAATTCACATGATTTTGTAAAGTGAGTTCCAGCATTTAACTGGATTGTTTTTCTTTCCTACTTGCCAAATATAGCTGTTTACTTAAGCCTGTATATTTTTTAGCTTTTATTATTTATTGCCTTTTAAAAAAAGGAACTACTTTAGATTTTTACCATTGTGATAAGCTTGTGTGTATCTAATGCCTTGGTTTGGCTGTATTTGAAATTGTAGAATAAAAGGGGGAAAAGACATAAAAAGTTTCTGAAGTATAATTTTTATAAACTCACTTCCTTATACTAGCAGAAAAGAATTGTATCTCTTGATATTGAAACTTTGTGAAAGAGCAAAAATATTACTTAACTTAGTATTTTTATAGTCTGGTCATGCTCTTTAAAGTAAAAAAATTTACTTTAAAATTTTTATTTTGATCATAAACTATTTCAGACCACAAAAAGATACTAAGAATAAGAATCATTCCTGGATACTTACTTTAGAACTTAAAAAAACAAAACTTGCCCTGGCTGGTGTAGCTCAGTGGCTTGAGTGAGGGCCTGCGAACCAAAGGATTGCAGTTCGATTCCCAGTCAGGGCACATGCCCGGGTTACAGGCCAGTTCCCAGCAGGGGACGCACGAGAGGCAATCATAGAATGATATTTCTCTCTCTCTCTCCTTCACTTCCCCTCTAAAGATAAATAAATAAAATCTGTTAAAAAACCCCAAAACTTTGTAAATATAATTAGGTCCTTCTTTACCCCATTTTGATTCTCCATCTCATTTGATGTTTTTTATTCTCATGCATATGGTAATATTTTTAGTACTTATATCTCAAAATATAGTATATATTTTGAGTGTTTTATAACTGTGTGTGAAATAGTCGTGTGTTGTTGGTGGAATGTGAAATGGTACAGATGCTTTGGAAAACTGCCAGATTCTAAAACAAAAATGAAATAGAGCTGCTGGGAGACCCAGCAGTTGGTTCTCCTAGGTGTATACCACAGAGGTGTGAAAACATGTCACACAAAAATTTGTGCACAAGTGTTCGTAGCAGCTTTGCATCATTAATGTTGACCAAAAAGTTAAAAAAGTACCCAAATGTTCATCAACTGGTGGAGAAATAAAATGACGTGTATCTGCATAGTGGCATAATACTCAGCAATGAAAGGAAATGAAGTACCGATACATGCTTCATCATGGATGAACCTTGAAAACATTATACTAAGTAAAAGAAGCTAGTCATGACAGACCATATGTTGTATGATTCTATTTATGTGAAAAGTCCAGAATAGGAATCTGTAGAGACACATAGTAGATTAGTGGTTGTCTAGGGTGGAAAGTATGGAGGGAGCGTGGACTGTGATTACCAATGGTTATACACTTCTTTTTAGGTTAATGAAAATGTTCTAAAACTAGATAGCAGTGGTAGTTGTACAAGTCTTTAATTAAACGGAAAACATTGAGTTGTGTCCTTCAGGTGAGTGAATTCTATTGGAAGATGAATTATATTTCAATAAAGCTGTTTAAAAAGTTCATGTAAATGTAATATATTCTATTAGCTTTTTAAACTCAGCATAAGCAAAACAAATTGTTATATTTTGAGATATACACATTTTTGTACATTTAGCTCTGTAGAACTCGTTTTTACATTCCATTGTATGAACTTTTTAAAAAAAGATTGTATTTATTTATCTTTAAAGGGGAAGGGAAGAGGAGAGGGAAAGAAATATCAATGTATGGTTGCCTCTTGTGCATCCCCCACTGGGAACTGGCCTGCAACCCAGGCATGTGCCCTGACTGGGAATCGAACCATGGTTGTTTGGTTTGCACTCAATCCATGGAGCTACACCAGCCAGGGCCCATTGTATGAACTTTTTATATTTTATTAATCCACTTTTCTTTTTGCTCTTAAAAGCAACAACTCTGAATAGTTTGGTTCATATTTCCTTATATGATGACACATTTTAAAGACTTTCTTCCAAATCAGAATTTGTTGGGATTATTGATAGTTTTTAATTTATTTATTCACTAAATTTAGAAGACATTTTATTGGTGTAACTTAGAACATTGGATTCATTTAATTATACAATTTAAAGTTGAAATGAGCTAAAGTACTCTATCTTCTGATGTTTTTTCATAGTTCTTTTATACTTGGCAGAAGCAAGGTAGGGCTTCTTCTGTGCCTTTCCTGTTATGTTAGTGTTGCATAAGAAATGTCCTAATTTGGGGGTATGCTAATATCTTACAGAAAAAGCCACAAATGAGTACAACACTGCGGAAGACTGGAGTCTTATTATGGACATATGTGACAAAGTTGGAAGCACTCCTAATGGGTAAGATGCCTGTCATGCTCAGTAAATGTCTAAGGACATGATAACCGGTGTCCCTTTTCTTGATGGAACTTTTAAAAGTTTGTTTACTTTGAGGGGAATAAAAAACGAAGAGGTCATGGTGGGGGGATTTATGGGATTAACTTTACAATGAAAGAACAGATGGGAAGAGAGTTCAACTGAAAACCTGAGATAAATTAAAATACATAAAGCTTTGACACAATAGAGATACATGTTAACAATGAATAGACTAGTTGTTGAGGAAATTCTCTTGTAACTAGACACTTCTGAAAGTCTTCTAACAATGAGGTAAATAAACATAGTAATTTAATAGGTAACATGCTGAGAAAGCCTTTCAGTAATCAATAGGTAAATATAATAGCATCATAATAGAAAGAAATGAGTATAAAAAGGATGCTTTACAGGGGAGGTGCAGTAGTGAAGCTGAACTGAATTATACTTTAGAAGTTGAGAAGACTGAAGAAAGCATTTGTTTTAACATTACAACTTTTCAAAGTACATTCATGAATGTTTATACTTAAACCTTTTAAGACTATATATCCTGCTCTTTTTTTTTTTTCAAGATAAGAATTTGCTGTTTGAAAGCTAAGTCTCTCTTGAACAAATGGAAAGATATTTTTTATATGATATAGTTCTCTTGTTTTGGATGACTTTTTACCTCTTGGATTTTGGAATATACAACTTTTGGAATAAGCTTTTTTTTAACGTCTACAAATCTATAAACAAAAGTGTAAAATCATTTTATGTAATGAAGTAAAGTTTGCAGGTTTTTATTTTTTAATTTAAAGTTATTTAGTGCTCGTATACCTCATATTTTTAATGTTTGATTTTAAATTCTAAATGAATATTTCACCTTCTTCATTTTTTTCTCAGGGCAAAAGACTGCCTGAAAGCCATAATGAAAAGGGTCAATCACAAGGTTCCTCACGTTGCTCTGCAGGCGTTAACTGTAAGTAGAAGTCATGCTATTGTTTGATCCAAATTTTATGTGTATGTTTATTTTAGTGAGTTAATATCTCAACATATGTATATTGATTTTTATTTTAATTAATAGCTTCTTGGGGCTTGTGTGGCAAACTGTGGAAAGATATTTCATTTAGAAGTATGTTCCCGTGATTTTGCAACAGAAGTACGTGCTCTGATAAAAAATAAGGTAAATTTTTAAAAGAGAAGAAATTTAAGTTATTAAGAAAATACATATACTCTATATCACTTTATATATAATATTAATAAAGTTGTATTATAAATGAAATCATTTTTAGATAAATTTGAAGTGAAATAAAACTTTCTGTTCTAAAATTTGATGTTTTTGTTTATAGTACCAAAATCTGTTTTCCTCCTCAAGGCATAGATGCTAGTGATAATAGCTAATCCTCACTGATGGCTAGTTACCAGTCACTGCTTTAAGCATTTTTATATCGACTCTCTTGTCTAAAGCTCTTAACAGTACTTAGAAGTGAGGTTCTCTTGTCATTCTTATTTTATAGATGCATAAACTGATGTTTAGATATTGAGTAACTTGTCCAGGGTAATGCCAGCCAGTAAGTAGCAGAACTGAGGTTCGGATGCAGGTTTCTGTGAGTCCAGTGTCCAAACTAACCACCATTCTGTACTGACTTCCCATTAGAGATGGAGGGCAAAGGTGGAGCAGGGTGGAGGGGTCTTCACTATAGGGGTGTTGTTATTGATTTCTTTAAGATGGAAACTCTGAAGCACCATTCTCTTGGTAGTAGTGGCAGGAATCCCAGAATTGTAGTTTAATTGACATAAAAAGCTTATAAGAAAACATGGAAGAATTAACCTCTGAATATAAAAGACTTGTCATCATAGTAAGACTTAGAAATTGATGTTCAAAAAGGGTAATTTTGCAAGAAATAACTATATCTTAAAAGGTAAATAGGTATTATCAAGTACTTGCCTAGGCTAGATATTGCTGGGCTTCTGTTGATGTTAGTGTGATTAAAGAAAATTTGGGTGATTATTCTCTTTGTTATTAAGTAATTCAAGTACTTTTAAACACAGTGTTTTTTTTTTTCTTTGCCTTCTCTTTGAAAGGCTCATCCTAAGGTGTGTGAAAAACTGAAATCTTTAATGGTGGAGTGGTCAGAAGAATTTCAAAAGGACCCCCAGTTTAGTCTAATATCTGCAACTATTAAATCTATGAAAGAAGAAGGAATTACTTTTCCTCCAGCAGGTTCTCAGGTAAGAGATTCATTCAAATTATGGTTGACCCTATATGATCTGGAGGGTATGTATCTTATGTAAAGTCTGGGCCAGGTCTGTTGTAATCGTCACCCACCTCCACTCTCCACATGCCTGGCTGGCACAGTGTCTTATATTTAGTAGGTGTGCTAATTGTAGTGAATTTCTTCTACATATTAAAACTTTGAGAAGTGACTCGGCCATAAATAATCTATTTAATGCTACTCTAGAGTCATGCAGAAGGTACAGGTGGATGAGAGAGCCTTATGTTCAAGAAATTTATAGTAAATTTGAAGGGTAGCTCTGTATATGTGAAAAATAACTACATGATAAGTGACAAATATGGATGAGGGGTACAAATGCTGTGTGTCAGGACAGAGAGGTAACTACAGACTGGGCTGGTGAAAATGAAGAGGTAGAATTTGGGGATTGGAATGTATTCAAGAGGTAGAGAAGGCTCAAGACCTGTTTATTAAAAGAGTGAATGTGCCTGAAAGGAATGGTTTATATATAAGATGGGTGGAGCTATAACACGAAGTTTATTTGGGGAGATAGGGGGTAGCTTTCGGAGGACAGAGTGGAGGCAGGAGTGATGAGTCACTGTATGGACTGTTTAGGTCTGTGGGAGAAAAGCATTGTATCTTGGGTTTTGCTCTCAGCGCTTCTTGCCCTCCAATTAATATAATATATGGGTTAGGGAAAGAGATTAGGAAAAAGACTGTATGTCATCTCTTTATATCTGTATCTATATAGATATCTATATATCTAATTTGTATAATTTTATTATAAACTCTAAACTACAGAGGCAAAAAGAACCTTTACAGCTGACCAGGTCTAAGGATTCTAGGTAGATTTGGGGGATAGAAGTCTTATAAGTAACAAAAAGCAAGCATTTTCCTGCTCTGTCCTTTATGCATGTCATTCTCAGAAATCTCTGTTAAAGAACTGACTGATGATTCACAATCCTGGACATCGCTGTCTTCCCCGCCTTTAAATTTAAGCATGACCTTCCTTAGTCCTCTGTTGTGCCTGAAGAGCCACCACCATTGAAACACAATGAGTAAAAGAGGGCTTAACAGGCATTCCTAGAGCACACCCTTTGAATTTGTCCTCCCTCCTCTTCAGTAGTCATCATGGCTTCTTGCTGCCACGTAGCAGTCATACAGCTTCTTCCTGTAGCTGTCTGCCTATAATGGCACAGCACCTCTCATGGAGTTAAGAGACCTTGGACAAGCTAGACCAGGAAGTGCAATTAGGAAAGACTCTTATTTAAGTACTTTCTGTATGCCAAATTCTGGGTCAGATACTAAGATTTATGCAATGTATAAGCCAGTTCATGTCCTTTTTGAGTTGATAATGTTTTCTTAAAAATTCTGATGTTTTATTTTTGTATTTGAAAACAACTACTTAAAAGTATCATAAACAACTTCACTTTTAAATGAAACTCATTAGTTATCAGTTTTATTTTAAATTAGCATGTGTGAGTAGTTATAGAACTTGTGTTTTCTTTGAAAGGGTAGTTGTGTTTATTTTACTTGTACATTTACAGACTGTCTCAGCTGCTGCCAAGAATGGTACATCATCAAACAAAAACAAAGAAGATGAAGACATAGCTAAAGGTAAATCATGAAACGTGTAATTTAGTGTTACTGGAAACATCCTTGTCGGAACAATTTATTGAAAAAAGTCAATAAAATTGGGTATATTTATAGTATTTTACCTCAAATATAGACGCTAGTAGGGTCTGAAAATTAAGTAAAACAATTGACATGATCATGAGGTTAACTCATTATCTTTGTCAGAAACATGTATTTAATGTCCTACCTTTGGAAAGCTTACATTTCACCTTTTCTTTAATGCCAAAGTTATGAGTCAAGCACAGAAATATATGTTCCCAGCTTGTCCTATATGGAAAGCTACCCATATCAAAATGTCACAATCTGTTTGCTATAAAAATAATAGCTGCTGTATACGACAGACTGTTTTAATCAGGAATGAGCAAAAACTTTATTTTAAAAAATGTCATGATTCTCTGCCCCTCTAGAAAGTTAACTGCTTAGTGTTTATTTGGACAAATAAAATACTCACTTGATTTACCCTTATTAAATATAACATTAATTTTTTTTTAACTTTAAAAAAGAATTAATTCTGGTTACATTTGTTCTTTGCATTTTAATTTTTCAAACTAGCTATTGAATTATCCTTGCAAGAGCAGAAGCAGCAGCACACAGAAACAAAATCCTTACATCCGTCTGCAGACGTTCAGCTAAATAATAAAACTGCAAGAAAAGTGAGAGCTTTATATGATTTTGAAGCTGTTGAGGACAATGAACTTACCTTTAAACACGGTGAAATTATTATTGTTTTGGATGACAGGTATGTTTTAAATCTTTATTTCTGGAATATTTTGAAGTCAAAGATAATATCCTTAATTTAGAATCCTGGATATCCAGCTCTTTGACTGTGTGTATCATAGAGCCTTTTCGTATCTTAATTACTTTTTTCTAAAATAAAATTTATAAAAGATTAGGTCATGTGATTTTCTTAATTATTATATTGAATTTGGTTTTTCTTTTTTATCTTGGATAGAAGATGTATTAAATGATCGATTATCACAATCAGGAAACATAAATATTCAGTAACCTGAATATTTACTTTGGCAATTTTGTATACCAAAATTACTAACAAATAAACTTTAGTAAGAAATTTAGCTGTGTTATCTTTGATCGAAGCAGCCAAAAGTTATGCTCAGCTCCTCCATAATCCTAATTTGTTACTCAACTCTCCCTCACAATTTCTGTATCATTTAAACTTGTAATAAAGACTACATTTGTCTATACTGGGTGTAATTCCAACCTCTACTTTGCTTTTAAATGAAGTTGATGAAATGTAACAAGAGCAAGACCTAACAGCTCGTTGTTATGAACACAGATTGTAAATGTATCCGGTATCCATTATAAATAGCTTACTGAAGATACATTAGGTTAGCGTATTTTTATTTATTTATTTAAATATATTTTATTTATTATACTATTATAATTGTCCCATTTTTTTATCCCCTTTATTCCTCTCCACCCTGCACCCTCCCTCCTAGCTGCATTCCCCCATCTTATTTCATATCCATGGGTCATACATATAAATTCTTTGGCTTCTTCATTTCCCACACTATTTTTAACCTCTCCCAGTCTTTTTTTGTACCTACCATTTATGCTGCTTATTCCCTGTATCTTTCCCCCATTGTCTCCCCGCCCTTTGCTGTTAACTCACCATGTAATCTCCATTTCTGTGATTCTGTTTCTGTTCTCGTTGTTTGCTTACTTTGGTTTTGTTTTAGGTTTAGTTGTTAATAGCTGTGAGTTGTCATTTTACTGTTCATATTTTTGATCATCTTTTTCTGAGATAAGTGCCTTTAACATTTCATATAATAAGGTCTTGGTGATGATGAACTCCTTCAACTTGACCATATCTGGGAAGCACTTGATCTGCCCTTCCATTCTAAATGAAAGCTTTGCTGGATAGAGTCATCTTGGATGTAGGTCCTTGCCTTTCATGACTTGGAATACTTCTTTCCAGCCCCTTCTTGCCTGCAAGGTCTCTTTTGAGAAATCCACAGTCTGATGGGAACTCCTTTGTATGCAACTCTCTTCTTTTTTCTTGCTGCTTTTAAGATTCTGTCCTCATCTTTAATCTTCAGTAATGTAATGATGATGTGCCTTGGTTTGTGTTTCCTTGGGTCAAACTTCTTTGGGACTCTCTGAGCTTCCTGGACTTCCTAGAAGTCTATTTCCTTTGCCAGATTAGGGAAGTTCTCCTTCATTATTTTTTCAAATAAGTTTTCCATTTCCTGCTTTTCCTCTTCTCCTTCTGGCACCCTTATGATTCGGATGTTAGAACATTTAAAGCTATCCTGGAGGTTCTTCATTTTTTGGATTCTTATTTCTTCATTCTATTCTGGTTGAATGTTTCTTCCTTCTGCTCCAAATCATTGATTTGAGTTCTGGTTTCCTTCCTGTCACTATTGGTTCTCTGTCCATTTTTCTTTCTTCCTTTTCTTTTTTTTTTTGTTTTTTGTTTTTATTTGTTTATCTTTAGAGGGGAAGGGAGGGAGAGAGGGAGAGAAACATCAGTGTATGGTTGCCTTCATGCGTTCCCTGCTGGGAACTGGCCTTCAGGGAACCAACCTACAACCCAGGCATGTGCCCTGACTGGGAATCGAACCGTGGTTGTCTGGTTTGCAGGCCCGTGCTTAGTCCACTGAGCTACACCAGCCAGGGCTGTCCATTTTTCTTTATTTCACTTTTCATAGTCTTTGCTTCTTCCTCTATTCTACAACCCTACTCAACCATTTCTGTGAGCATCCCGATTACCAGCATTTTGAACTCTGCATCTGATAGGTTGGCCATTTCTTCATAGCTTTGATCTGTTCTTTCATTTGGGCCATTTTTTTGGTCTCATTGCCCCTGTGACATAGTAAGGCATGGAGCCTTAGACATTTGCCAGGGCGGGGCAACCCATATCACTGTTGTGTTGCTGTTTGTGGGGGAGGGGTCAGAGAGGGAATAGTGCTGCTTGCTCAGCTCTCATATGGCTTTCCCACAGCACTTCCCTGGCCACCCACATGCAAATTGGGCCCTTCTGGTGCTGATTCCTGGGTGGATGGGTTTGTGGACGTTTTAGGATCTTGTGGATCTCTCCAATGAATTCTCTTGTGAGACTGGGAGTTTCTCCTGCTGCTTCATCCCCTACAGATTTTTGCAGTCAGAGATTTGGAGGCTTTATTTCCCCATGCTGGAACCCTGGGATGCGAGGGTCTGTCTTGCTCCCCAGTTGTTCCTCCCAGTTTATCGGTGCATAAATGTGGGAGCACCAGGTCTGCCAGCTACACCTCACCCACCCCGGTCCTCCAGCTGCCGTCTTGCTGCGCATCCTCTCCACCCTGGCTGCCTAACCCTGCCCCTCCTACAGTCTGGATGAATGTTTCTTCTTTAACTCCTTGGTTGTCAGACCTCCATACAGTTCAATTTTCTGTCATTTCTGGTTATATTTTGTTTTTAAATTTGTTGTTGTCCTTCTTTTGGTCACATGGGGAGGCATAATGTATCTGCCTACTCCTCTGTCTTGGCCAGAAGCTTAGTGTAGTATATTTTTAAGTGGATAAGTACACAAAAATGGTTTTACTGTGCTGTGGTAAATACTGAGAAAATGTTATGTAATAGATGCTATTTAGTTCTGCCATCTAAAACCCAGAATAAAGTATGGGAGTTACAGTTACTATACAGGGTGATGGAATGGAATGCAGAATGTGAATAGCATAGAAGAAATCACGTTGGGGTCCAAAGAGAGCAGATCAGCATGTGGTATGAGCATCTGGGAAAGAAGACCTATCCAGGGTCCATTTCAGGTGAACTTGGATTGGTTTTGACGGGGCAGGAAAGATTTCGCAGTAACCTAGAATATGAAACAAAGGTCTTAGGCAGTCAAGATAACACTATGTTCATAGAAGGTTTTTGCTTTTTAAAAATAAGCATTTGTAATGAAGCACATGACCCCTGAAGGAGAGTAAACAGATACGAAGGTGAAGAGGTAGTGGCCTCGATCACTGACAGTCTGAAAGCTTAGGCTTCTGAGTGTACTTTTAGTTAGAACATTTACAAAATAACTTACATTTACATTTCTGTTACTCTTATACAAGCTGTAAATTTAAAGATATTTATAAAATAGAAACAAAACTAAAACAGAGTAGTTTTTGCTCTGAGATTCAAATTTTGAGCATTGCTTTAATAACAAATTTTTCTAAAATTAATTGCTGCTCACATGGTAAGTAAATTACTGATAGACGGTACAGTACTTCATCACTCTCTCCAGTAGGTCTGTGTATTACCCCATGTTATGATAACTGCATCTCTGAGTTTGTCTTTGTAACTGTGAATCCCTGATGCATATCGTATCCCCTGATGTCACTTGGTGTTTGTGCAGTATTGTATACTTGTTGCAGGCCACAGGCTTGCGGTGAGTGAAGGGTTTTGTTACTGTGCTGCATGTGTTCTTTTCACTCGTGTCTAACTAAGGCACAAATTCATTAAGTAATGTAGACTCATGCAAAACAGTTTTCACTTGAGACTTACCAGTGCAAAAAAAGAACTTTGTTCCTTGTAATTGCTGAGAGGATGCAACATGAATATGATGCAATATGTAAGCTGATTGCCCTCCTTTTGAGGGTAGGATACCCAGTCTTAAAATTGCCATAGTCATGCTTATCAACATGTGTAGGTTAAATGTCATTCTGGGTGATTGGTAATCACTGCAAGATTTTAAACACAAAGGCAAACTTGTGTTTAAAAGGTTACTAAAGTTAAGTGGCAGTCTTAGGTTAAATGGAGGTCAGTCATCTAGATGATCCAGAACATGACTATATTCCTTGTACTGACAGTGCTGTGGAAATGAAAATATAAAATTAAAAATTTCACGTGTAGAACTTGAAAAAGTCCTTGAAAATACAGCATCCTTGGACTTCAACTTAAGAAACATGGAGCTGATAGAAAAGGTTCACATTTCTTAGTAGTGTGCCAATAAAGCTTTTTACTTTCTCCATTTTTAGCTGTATCTCACCACTCCTTGTTTGTTCCGTACGTACCATTTCAAATAATTAAGTAGAAATCTTGCAGTTCCAAAAGTGTCATGTTGTGATTAGACTTTTGTGGTGTTGTACATTTGGTTCTCTCTGCCCCAAAAGCCCTGTCAAAGAAGCAAACGCATTTAGAAAAGAAAAGGAACTTTACTTGCAAGGAAGGTTTGCAAGGGAGTCCAGGCCAACGACGTGTTCCCCAAATTAAAAAATAGAACAGGTAATTTAAGGAAAAAACCCCCACAAGATTGCCAGTTGTCCAGGTTTACTATTTGTATGTTTGTGGTAGAAATAGTACTTTTCTCACATGATTGTCAAATCCGTAGAAGACATCACTTATCTTCAGCCATTGTCATTGTAAAAGTCAGCAAATGAGTTGTTTTGGTTAAGAAGTCAGAGGCTAGATTTTCATTTATTTTGAGACCTAAAATGAGACAAGATAACTTTGTGGTTTTTTTTTCACCTCAGTGGGCAAAGTATTTTATTTCTTTGTACTTTTTATTTTCTTGCTTCTCCATAATGGAGAAGGGCATTTTTATTTTCACAACCATCATTTCCTTTTCCTCCTGATGAGTGCCTACTACACCTTCAAAACCCATGTCAGATTTTTTATCCCCTGAGAAGCCTTTAAACCCTTCTTTCTCTTTACCTATAAATTAGGAGTTCTATCTTGGTGCTGCTCTAGCTCCCTGAATATAATTGATAGCATTTCTCATATTGTATTGTAATTACTTCTTCACATATATCTCTCCTGCTAGACGAATTGATTCTATAGAGGGTCAGCACTTTCCTGGGATGGGAGAAAGGGGTAAGGAGAACACAATTCCCAGAAAGTAAAGCAAGGTAACATGTCTTAGTTGGTAGGAAGGGTTAAAAAATAATAGCACTAAATTTTAAATTTCTTGAGGGTAGAAACTGTCTCTTAATTATCCTTGTAACTTCAGTGCTTAGTCTAGTGTCTGTCCCCTTCTCGGTGGGCTTTCATAAATGTTAGCTGAATAGTCAATTTGTTGAGGGCAAAATTTATGTCTTTTATATTTGCATCATTTTTCACTCCACTGTGACTGACTTTCTTAACATAAACATCTATATATATATATATAAGTACTGCAATTTTCCTTAATTATCAAATGGTTTACGTGAAACTACAGTGCCAAATTACCTTAATTTAGAAATTTACATATTTTGTGCCATTAACATTCTATATAATCAACTAATTGCCAGTGGAGAGAATATAGAGCCGGCTTAGGGCTGGGAAGGAGCCATTAGGCTTTGACATGGCATTTGGGTGTCTTCCTTACTTTTATATTTTATCAAGCTGTTTGCAATAGTGGTTGGGAGGGAAATTATCCTTCATTAGTAGAACTACTAAGGAAGGCTACACATAAAATTGTTGTTAGGTTCAAGTAAAATCCATGCATCCATTTCATGGGTTTGGGTTCTTTGGTTTTATCTAAAAATTCCTTTAAGTTCAGTTTCCCATTTTTAAATGGAAAGTTCACCTTAAGAAAGTATGTGAGAATAAGGGAGAGTTTCTCATTCTGTAGATGTATTACCTTAGAACTGTCAATATATCATTATTTTCTGGCCTTAAGAATTTGGGTAATACATAGCTCTTTCATATTTTTGTAGCACTTCTTTTTTACTGAACTCTAAATTTTATTAAAATCAAACTATTAGTGGGCCCCCAAAGATTAAAGAAACAAAGCCCTTGTCTCACATCTCCTTCACAACAAATGTAACCTTCATGGAAAAAAACATGTCTTCTGACCAACTGGTATTATTTTCAGGAGCGTGAGCCATCAGCGTGTGAATTATGAGTTAGTAAATTCTCTTTGTTGTGCTTTTTAATGTAATAATGTTTCAGAGTCATAGAAATTAATTAATCTTTAAGTGTCATGCTTGCTCAATAAGTCAAGTTTTCGATAAATTACCATTATTTCTAGATTTTATGATTGCCTGTAGAGAACGTTCAAGAGAATCAGTGGACAAACTGTTAAAACTGGTGAGAGTTCATCAAGGTTGTTGGGTACTAGCTCAACACACAAAATCAGTGGCAAACTTTACTGTAATCACAACTACTTAGAAAATGTAAGAGAAACACATGCCAATCTCAGTAGTAACAGAAATTATAAATAATCAATAATAAAAAACCCAACAAAGATGTATAAGGCCTTTATGGAAAAAAATACATAAAATTTTTTCAAAGATATAGTGGAATATAAATATATATGACATTTATATAAATATAAGTGGAGGGAGCTACCGGCTTCATGGTAAAGAAACAATATTATTTCTTTATCATGAAGCTAGTATCTACCAACACAGATTTAATTTTTCCCATATGAATGCATAAATGCAGTGCATTTCCAGTTAAAATCCCAACATAATTTTTTATAGAGCACTTGAAAACACTTTAATTTTAATGTAGAAATGTAAAGATACACAATAACAGATAGGGTCCTTGCCTTGCTAGGAATCAAGGCATGTAATAAGCTCTAGTACATAAATATATACACTATTGCAACAGAATAGAATCCACACATAGGTTCATGAACAGGTAGCAGCTTGCTGTTTGAAAGACAGGATATGATAAGCCAGTAAGAAAAGAATGATATTAAGTAAATTTTGCTGGGGTGAATGGCTCTTCATACAGTCTAAATAAAATTTGATTTGTATTCATACAGTACATAAAATTTTATTCCACATGAATTAAAAGACCTAAACATGGGAATGGAATAAAAAAGAAAACTTGAAATAAAAACAAAAGAAAAGAAAAGAAAAAGAAAAAATGAAATAAAAAAAGAACAAAAAATATGGAATAAAAAAAAAAACCCTAACATGTTAAAAGACAAGTTTGAGAGAAGGTATTTTTATAATGAAGTTCCAACAAACAGTTGCTGTCCAGAATGCAGGAAAAAATCCTACAGATCCATGAAAAAGACAAAAGACCCAGTAGGGGGAAAAATGGACAGAAGACAGGGACAAGGCAGTTCACAGAGGAGGCAGTCCGAAAGGCTGACACAATCAGGTGGATACATGGGACGTACAAATGAGACATGATTTCTCTGCTGCCTGATATCAGGTGTTGCTTGGACAGTTAACAGACATGAGGGGAAATGACATTCTGAATTGCTGCTTAGGGAAGGAGGGAAGTGAATTGCCAGAATCCCTTTAGGGATCAGTTGACAATATCTATTAAAATCGGAAATGCTTGTATCTTGTGACCCAGCAAGTCCATGTTTGTGCATAAGCCTAGAGGATTGTTGCATGCGTGCCCCAGAATCTAGAGTGCTGAGAGACTGGAAGTTCCTGAATGTCTACGTGTATGGAGATAAATCAAATATGCCCTGTTTGTGTGATGAAACTTTGATTTAAAAAGGATAAACCTCTGAATCAAAGATCTGAAAGTATTAACATGTAAAACTAAAAAGATCTATAATGATTAACATCTAAATCTATGGAATAGGCTTAAGATGAGTAATGAGTAATTTTTTACTCATTACTTACAAATGAGTAAAAAATACACTGGCAGGAAAGCTACATGCCAGCATGGTGCAGTCGATAGAGGGGTCTTCAGTGTTATCTGTAATCTTACTATTTTAAAAGCCTAGAATAAAATGTGAGCAGTTGCCAATTGGTTCTAAATGTAAGTATGGGAATATGGGTTTGTTTTAGTTGTGCTTTTCTATATCTTTTAGTAAATTTAAGAACTACTTTTAAATATAGTTGCATGTGAACTAATATTTTTCAAAGTAGACAATTTAATTTCTATTTTAATTCATCTCAACACAAATGCACTAAAATGTATAGGAACAGATGACATTTTTGCACTGTATTTGCAGTGATGCCAACTGGTGGAAAGGAGAAAACCACAGAGGAGTAGGACTCTTCCCATCTAATTTTGTAACAACAAATTTAAACATGGAGTCTGAGGCAGGTAAGTTAAATCTTAAGAAAGGTTAAGTTTATGAAAGTTTTTTGTACTTGAATTTATAGTTTAACTTTGACTATAAAGTAAATTGGCATTTAACTCTTATTTTAAAACATTTATAGGCAGTACAATTTAACCTATTTTTTAAAAAAATATTTTATTTATTTTTTAGAGAGAAGAAGGGCGGGAAAGAGAGGGAAATACCAGTCTGTGGTTGCCTTTCCTGTGCCTCCTACTGGGGACCTGGCCCACAACCCAGGCATGTGCCCTAGACTGGGAATCGAACTAGTGACCTTTTGATTCACAGGCAGGCACTCAACTACTGAGCCACACCAGCCAGGGCCACTTTAATGTACTTCTTAACCAGATTAAGAGGTTAACTTATCCAGGTCAATTCTAAGAATCATTTCTTTATTATAATATTTTAAATCCTTTGACAATTAACATATGTAGTTACATGTAAGACATAAAATAATCTGTGATCGAGTAAATATTTAAATCAACCTAATTATGATTTAAGAGGCCATTACTGTCTGTTGAATACAGAGAATGCTGGTTTTATTCATCTCTGAACCACAGGATGAAAGGAGGTGCTATGGGGGTAGGGGCTGGTGGACAGTTGCCATGCCAAGTGTGATTACAGGGGTTAGAAGTACTCCTAAGTTTTAGACTTCTCCCTACCTTGATTTGATTCTAAGGCACTCCAGGCAATTTGAAGTAATGTAATCGGGATAGTAGGTTTCCTCATTCAATGTTGCAGCTACAGACAGGTCCCCTCAGCCACTGTCAGTTGTGCAGAGAAAGTTTCTATTTGTTACGCCAGTGGGGAGGTGACCAGAGTTGAGTGTAAAGAACAGCTAATAATGATACGAATAATGGTGGTGATCAGAAATAAAAGCGCTCGGTGGTGTTTGAGCCATCATGTGTCAGGCATTTTGCCATATCCTTTGCTTACACTATTTATATAATCCTCACAAGTCTGTGAGACTAGGTGCTTTTGTTATTCCATTTTACAGGTAAGGAAACTGAGGCTGAGAGGTTATGTGGCTGCTAGGTGAAATAGCTGGGATTCTAAAGTCAGCCAGTCGGTCTTTATAACGACTCATTGCAGGACATGTTGGTGATAATCCTTACCAGTTCTGGAAGACTCAAATCAAAAGCTCTGCATTTATATAACAGTGATTTTCAACCTTTTTCATTTCATGGCTCATGTAAACTAGTTACTGAAATTCTGTGGCACACACAAAATACAATATGGATTGTTTTTTGCCAATCTGACCAAAAAACAATTGGTATAATTTGTTTATTTTTTAATTTTTTAAAAGCATGTATTGATTTGTTATTATAGTTCCACTTTTCCCTCTCTGCCCCCCCCCATCAAGCAAACCCCACTCCCCCAGGGAATGCCCTCACCATTGTTCATGTCCATGGGTCATGCATATAAGTTCTTCGACTACTCCATTTTCTGTACAGTACTTTACGTTCTCATGGCTATTCTGTAATTACCTACTTGAACTTTTTTTTTTTAAAGATTTTATTTATTTATTTATTTATTTATTTATTTATTTATTTATATTTCTGGGAAGGGAGAGAGAAAGAGAGGGAAACATCAGTGTATGGTTGTCTCTTGCATGTCCCCTACTGGGGACCAACCAGGCCTGCAACCCTGGTGTGTGCCCTCAACTTAGAATCAAACCGGTGACCCTTTGGTTCGCAGGCCAGTGCTCAGTCCACTGAGCCACACCAGCCATTGCCCTGTCAGTATTTCTTAATCCCCTCACCACTTCACCCATTCCCCTCCAGACCCCTCCAATTTGGCAGCCATCAGAATGCTCTCCTTATCCATGATTCTGTTGCTCGTTCTTATTTGCTTAGTTTGTTTTTGTTTTTAGATTTGTTAATAGATATGTATTAATTGCCATTTTATTGTTCATAGTTTCAATCTTCTTTTTCTTAAATAAGTCCCTTTAATATTTCATACAAGAATGGTTTGGTGATGAAGAACTTTAGTTTTTTCTTGTCTAGGAAGCTCTTTATTTCCGCTTCAGTTCTAAATGATATATTTCATTGGTGAAGCAGTCTTGGATGTAGGTCCTTGTTTTTCATGATTTTGGATATTTCTTGCCAATCTCTTCTACCTGCAAAGTTTCTTTTGAGAAATCAGCTGACAGTCTAATGGGAACTTCCCTGTAGGCAAGTAACTGCTTTTCTCTTGCTGCTTTTAGGATTCTCTCTTGCCCTGGCTGGTGTGGCTCAGTGGTTGAGTGGCTGGCCTGTGAAGCAGAATGTCACTGATTCAATTCCCAGTCGAGGGCGCATGCCTGGGCCAGGTTCCCGTTAGGAGGCATGCAACAGGCAACCACAGAGTGATATTTTTGTTCCTCTCTTAGTCCCATCCTTCCCCTCTCTAAAAATAAATAAATGAAATCTTTTAAAAAAAAGATTCTTTTTTTTATCTTTCACCTGTGATGTGTCTTGGAATGGGCCTGTTTGTATCCATCTTCTTTGGGACTCTGTGCTTCCTGGACTTGCATGTTTATGTCCTTCCCCAAATTAGGGGAGTTTTCTTCATTATTTTTTCCAAATACATTTCCAGTTTTTTGCTCTTATTGCTTCTCCTTCTGGCACCCCTGTGATGCAAATTACGGAATGCGTAAAGTGGTCCCAGAGGCAGCTTATACTACCTTCACTTCTTTGGATTCTTTTTTCTTCTTGTTTTGCTTAGTTGTTTTTTGTTTTCCCATGTTTCAAGTCATTGATTTGATTCTCTGCTTCATCCATTCTACTGTTACTGCCTTGTAAATTGTTCTTTATTCCAGTTAGTGTGTTCTTCATTTATGATGGGATCATTTTTTATGCTATTGAGGTCCTCACTAAGTTCCTTGAGCCTCCTTATAACTAGTGTCTTGCACTCTGCAGCTGATAGATTGCTTATCTCTATTTTGTTTAGTTCTTATTTGAAATTTTGATCTGTGGTTTCATTTGGGCCACCTCCCTATGTTTGTCTCTATGTATTAGGTAGAGCCGCTACGACTCCCTGTCTTGGTAGCATGGCCTAATGTGGTAGGTATCCTAGAGGGTCCAGTGACACAGCCTTCCCCATCACCCAAGCTAGGTACTCAAAGTATAACCTTTGTGTGGGCCGAGTACACCCTCTTCTTATAGTTGAGACTTGTTTGCTGTTACTCAGCCCAGTCAGCTGCAGGGACTGGTTGTGACCACAACCACCAACCTCTGCCTACCGTGGAGGATCAGCTGTGGAGGGACAGGGTGATGGTGCTCCAATGTGGTCCATAGCTGTTCATTAGGAGCTCAGGCTCTGAGGTTTTCTGGTTGTTGCAGGCTGAGATCAGCCCCCACCTGTGTTCTGCTTGGGGCTACACTGCCTGAGCTATAAAGCAATCTGAGATGGCTGCTACTTGTGCTGGACTCAGAGGTTCTCAGGTAAAGCCAAGCTGTAAACCTAGGTTGGCTGCTGCTAATGCCAGGCCTGGGGCCACTTAACAAGAGGAACAGGAGCTAGAGACTCACTGAGGCTGTCTGTTGCTGGTTTGAGAGGATTTAGGAAGTTGTGAGGCATGAGCCAAGACCAGCCATTCATATGGAAAAGTCACTTTTAATAGTTTGGGTTGACCTGTAAGTTGGGTGTGGTGGAGACTCCGGATCTTTAGGGCAGGGCAAACAGTGTTAGCCGGGTGGATGGAGTCTCAGATAGGGCTCCCACTTTCCAGCTCTGCAGCTCTGTGTGGGACAGGATCAGAAATGGGACAGTGGCCTCTTTTTGCCTTTCTTTCTGGGAGAAAGCTGTCCCCCAGCTCTCTCCTTGATGTCAGACACTTCTGTTCCTCGCTGTATGCCACTGGTGCCTTTCAAGCTGCTACCCTGGTGCGGGAGCTCGGAGGGAGTGAGTCTGTATGTGGGTTCCGCATACTGCTTGGGGCTCCAGCTGTTTCTTCCACCAACTCAATCCCTGGTTTTTGCAGCCAGAAGTTACAGGGACCTGTCTTGCTGCCACTGGAACCCTGGGCAGGGAGCCCTGGTGTGGGTCACCCTGGTGTGGGTTTGGGATTCCTCGTTCCCCAGATATCCCTCCCCATTTTTACCTACTGTGTGTGGGTGCGGGACCAGTTCATTCTGCCTCTACGCCCCTCCTACCAGTGTGGATGGATGTGTTTTCTTTAATTCCACAGTGGTTGCATTTCCATTCAACTTGATTTCTGATGGTTCTGAGTGGTGGTGGTTCTCTAGTTTAGTTGTAATTTTGGTGTGGTCATGTGAGGAGGTGAGCCACATTTCCCTGCTCCTTCCTGTTGACCCGAAGTTGCCATTTATGTCTTTAAATACATTTCCGGTAATGACATTTGGAGCAGGACACCTTTTGGAACCTGTGGCACAGCACGGGAAACCACCCTCCTGCCTGGTATTTGAAACATTAACTGGCATCTTATGATTGTTCAGACACTTGTGAATCCATCTGACTATCCCACAGGCTGTATTTTTCTATCTTGTGACTAACTCTGTCAAATGGCTTGATGAATTCTACCTAGCATTTTTTTTTTTTTTTGTAGTCACAACAGAAAAGAGCATTGAAATCAAGGTGGATACTTTACTGTCCACCATCCATGCCATGCTCAGGGTCGCTTTCTGGTTTCCTTTTTTCATTCTTTCTGCCTGAAAGCTTTCTTGTGTGTATGCACTCTCTCTCTGTCCCCCTCACCTTTTACTTATATTCCTAGTACTCTTTCATGGTCAAAACAGTTCTTCCTCCTCCAAGAAGCCAGCACCCATCTTGTCTCCAATAATTCCAGGCATGCATAGTTGCTATGTAAGGCAGTTTAGCCCCTAACCTTCTCATGGTGTATTACGTGTACACCCAGAATGAATCACGCACTTGGCGAATATTAGTTGGAGGAGTGAAAGTTAGTCTTCATTTTGATCAGTCCATAACCATAAGCTTCTTAAGGGGAGCTGCTAGTCTAACATTTACTCCCTCTTCTATTGAGGTAGAATTCACACAAGATAAAATGAACCACTAAAGTGAACAGATCGGTGCTTACAATTCCTTTAAACTCCCTTACAATGCATGGCACACAACTGGGCATACAGAAATGCTCAAGTAGGCATTTGCTAACAATACCTGATGTAATAATCTATTACAATAATCTAGAATCTATTCTAGAGGAAATAATCTATTTCCTCTATAATCATGCTGTGACTAATGACTAATTACCCAGATCCTTTGAAATGGATTTATAAACATGGCCAGTGTTTTATTTTGGGGAACTCTAAGTTGTGGACTAAAGGAAGCTTTATTCTGAAAACATTAGACTCTTCTGTGCTGTTATTTAAGAGATAAACAATTCTGGATGAACAGGAAAGTAGATTCACTTAGAAAGTGAATTCTAAGTGGAAAGTAACCCACTTAGAAAGTCGATTTCAACTTTCTCTGTATGAAAAGTTTTTTGTGTTACTTTGTTACTAAAGTTAGGTTTTGATCAACTAAATTTTTTGTTCATACGGAAAATACATCTTTATAGCAAGGATAGACTGTTGAAGGAACTCATAGGTTTAACTGGAGTTAGCTAACTAGATAATTAGCTAACCAGATAATGCTCTACTCTCTTCTATATTTTCTCACCCATTTTTCAGAAAATGCCTATAATAACTGTTCTTGTTAATATTGCTTGCTTGTTCCACCAGAGTGTAAGTTCTATCAGGGCAGGTGTTCTTGTCTGTTTTACTCACTGCTGTATTTCCAGTGCCTAGAACAATGTTTGGCATGTTGTAACGGCAAATGAATATTTGTGGCATGAATGATTGAACATATATAATGTTATTGATTATGAAATTGTGATGACTATACTATTTAAAGAGTTTCCTTTTTTCTTATGGATGAACATGGACTACTTGTAAATTAGTGACTAAAATAGCAAAGTAAATGCTGAGGAACTTAAAGTTGACTTTGTTTTCATAGCAGCTATGGACAATTTGAATGTAATTGATGAGGAGGAAGAAGAAATTAAGAAATCAGAGCCTGAGCCTGTTTATATAGATGAGGTAGAGTCCTTTTTTTGTTTAATAGTTAAATTTTCAAGACTTTATAATGTATTATCCTTAAACACTTGGAAAGAGTAATTTCTGTATTCACCAAAATCAAGACTCAACTGTGTGTTCGGTGTGTTCCGTCATCTTTCCAGGAGAAGATGGATAGAGCCCTGCAGGCCCTCCAGAGTATAGATCCAACTGACTCAAAACCAGACTCCCAGGACCTTTTGGACTTAGAAGGTACTTAGTGAATATCAGGGATTACTTTAATGTCCTTTAATATTTTAGCTGTCTGTAATGTCATAACTTTTCCTCTGCCTTGTGTTTGCTTGTAGAGATTAGAAAACTCTGGTGGGAAATAGACTAGTGTAGTTATTTAATAAACACATTATTTGGAAATTGTTATAAGATTGCCAATCTTATTCAAGAAGGAAGTCTGTATTATATCTGTAAGCCCACTAATGAAATTGGCTGAAGAGATTGGCAATCCAAAAAAGGACAGGATTAGAAATAATAGCCTATTAAATTGAGTCAAAATGTTAGAAACTCTTATTTCTCTTTTAATTTCTTGTATCATAATTTTAAAGGTCAACATAATGCATGATCTGTGTTAACTCAGTGATGCAGTCACTAGGTGCATGCTGGTGTGTCTTTGGATCCCAAGATATTTGAAACAAACAAAACAAGTGCTTTTATGCCTGTTTTAAAAAAATCCTTTGGTAAAAAAATCTGTGATAAATGAATAAATCTTCTTAATCTTTTACTAGAAAGTTTAGTTATGAATATGGAATATTGTAGTGTTCATTATATCAGTGTTTACATTTGAAAATACACATCTTTAATTTTGAAATGGCTTAAGTAAATGAAAATGTTCATATCTCATCTGAATGTAATTATATATTTTATACACTGACTCAAGTTCATTTTACTTAGCTAATAAGATTTTGTAGTAACTCCAAATTTCACAGTCTGTAAAACAGACTTTCAGAGAACACAGTGGGATTTCTGTTTGTTGACTTTGGTCACATACTAATACTGGTGCTGAATAGTGTTAAAATTAGGTCTTTTATAGTCCTTTCTCCAGCATAATCTTAGTTCTCTTCGTATTCATGGTGTTGCATAGTGGTGCTCTGTTCTTAAAAGTTGTTGAAATTTACTTAAACTGGTTTAATTTTAAAGAGTTAAAAATATTTTTATGTTTACAGATATCTGCCAACAGATGGGTCCCATGATAGATGAAAAACTTGAAGAGATTGACAGGTGAGGTTTTTGTGTGCAGGAAATAAAAAGTATAGTTTTCCTAGTTTACTTGTTTTGGGTAGAATTTCAAACTAGGAAGTGTTTATGAATCTGTTCAATCTGTTGAAATTATTTATCAGGTCCCCAAAGTCTTAGAAACTAATAGGAAGGTGGTACTTGTTATTTTGGTGACATGTTTTTTTTTGTTTTGTTTTGTTGTTAATGGCAGTAGAGTGTGTATATGGCCTTGGACCCTTGCTCTTATGGTGCCAGTCTTCATTTTCTTACTTGGGCTGGAATCGAGGGGTAATGAGTGACGAAGAATAAATTTGTATAGAGTACAAAGTGAGAACAGAGATCTTAGGCAAGCATTGTCTTGTTATGTGATGAGAATTAGTATTTGTAAAACTTTCAAATGAGACTTACCTTTTATTTATGAAGCTAAATCCAAAGCACACTCCTTGTTTTTCTTCCTTGCATTTCTGTTGGGCTTTTAATTTCCATATCCCACCTAGTCTTACTCTTCCTTAGAATTAGTAACAGCACTGAAGGATACACTAACAGGGTTTTCATCTTTTTACTTAGTTTTGGTCCGTCTCCTATTCCTCAGAACTGTCTATCCAACGTCAGAAAGAAGCCATAATGAATGGGAGACAAGGATAAGGCTTTAGTGCTCTGTGGCTGTCGCTTTCTAGATTCTGTTTATGGAGCCGCTGTGTGCAACAGCACAAGCAGGACAGGAACTACGTACCTGCCTTTATCAGAGAAGGGGAGTAGCAGCATTTTTTCTAGTCAGCTAGGATTATAGTTTTTGTTCCATTGGGCATTTGGAGTAAATTCTTCATATTTTCTACAGAAATGAAAAATAAATCTCTGTTGCACTTAAATGATGGTGGTAGTCTCATTACACTTTATTGTTCATATTTTGGAGAAGGCATTAACTATCTACTTAAATGTCTTCTACTTTGGTTTCAGTGCAGCGATGTTAATGGTCAATGAATAATCAAACTGGGATCAATAATAATAAATAGATCAATAAAATACATGCCTATGGCTATTCTTAGTCGCACTTTCGTTAGCATGGACACTCATTTCTGAAGTTGCCTGTATGTTCAGTATTTCTGAAAATTTGATATTTCTGAAAATAGAGTTTGACCTGCCTCGTACAGTCACACATGCAGGAGGGGAAACAGCATGTTTTTGTTTTGTTTTCCAGATACAACCTTCTAATAGAGGACAGGTGACAAGTCCCGATAGGTCTCAGAACAGGTCGTCTGACAGCCCCCTGTGTGGTTGCCTACCTCTGCCTCTTGTCTCTTGAGCCTCTTGCATATGTAGAGAAATAGCTACATTTAGTAAATAGCCTTGTTGGATGCCCTAGGCCAGAAAAAGTGGCCGTTTAGCTTTTATGAACCTCTCAGTTGCAAAGGGCATTCTTTATTACTCCCAGAGGAACAGGCAGAAGGGTACCAAGTCCAGAAGGATTTGCTCTGGATTTCTTGGGCAAATTTGAAAATACTCTTACTTGGACTTGTTTTTACATAATAAGGTATCTGGTTTTACTCACTTTCTCAAAAGAAATCAACCAATAAAAGCAGTAGCTACTAATGTATATAGACATTTTCATTTGCATTTTCAAGGATAATTATTAAACATATTTTTCAGTTGATCTTTTCATGAATATAACCAAATGAAAGTAAGTGTGATTTTGTTTCTGAATGTGTTTCTGTTTCAGTCATATTGTATTTCACAGCAGGTTCTGGACCTAAGTATTTTCTCCTACTAAGATGTTTAGTTAAGGCCTGGACTGTTTCTAAATTGAGAATTTTTTCTTCTTTGTAATTGGGTTTCCAACAGAAATCTGTAACATATGGAACAAAATTCTCCCAGCACCAAAAGTATGAATAGGTTGTATTTTGTGAGGTGGGGAAAGGATGTTCCTTAAGTTTATGAAGTCATATTATCTAGTTACTATAAGAATTAAATAATTCCTCCCTGGCTGGTGGCCCAGTGGATTGAGTGCCGGCCTGTGAACCAAAGAATTGCTGGTTCAATTCCCAGTCAGGGCACATGCCTGGGTTGCAGGCCAGGTCCCCAGTATGGGGTATGCAAGAGGAAACCATCCATTGTTTCTCTCCCTTACTTTCTCCCTTCCTTCCCCTTTCTCTAAAAATAAATAAAATCTTTAAAAATAAAAAAAATATAGAATTAAATAATTCCTTCTCTGCTTTCCCCTTTGTGAATATTCTTTCATCATACAGGCTGGGGCAAAAGTAGGTTTATAGTTGTGAATATATGAAATGCAGCTTATTCTTGTATTAATTATTGTATTATTTTTCCATATGAACAACTGTAAACCTACTTTGTCCTACCCTGTATATAAAGAACCATTTAAAATACGAATAGAAAATGTGTTAAATTTAAAAAATAATTTGTGTTGCTAAATACATACTTAAAAACTTTAAAGACTATTTAAGTGCTTTTCTTCTGTATCAGGAAGCATTCAGAATTGTCTGACTTGAACGTAAAAGTCTTGGAAGCCCTGGAACTGTATAACAAGTTGGTAAATGAAGTACCAGTATATTCTGTTTATTCAAAGCTCCATCCTCCAGCACATTACCCACCTTCATCAGCCGGGGTTCCGATGCAGGTGAGCATGGTTTCTGACAACATTTTTCAAAATTAAAAAAAAAAGTAATTACCAGTAAACACAGTTTTAAAGTATAGTATTAAAACTGCTACATGAAATGGTTCTAAAATTCATTTTTGATAGAAAAATAGTGGCTAGCCCTGGCCCATGTGGCTCAGTTGGTTGGAGCATTGCCTTGTAAACTGAAAGGTCGAGGGTTCGATCCCTGGTCAGGACACATACTGAGGTTGTGGATTTGGTCCCTAGTCGGGGCATGCGCCAGAAGCAGCTGATCGATGTTTCTCTCTCTCTATCCCTCCCTTCTCCTTTCTCTAAAAATCAATAAGTGTGTCCTCAGGTGAGGGGAGATATATATATATAGTAAATGATTAGTGCTCACCAGGACAAACTAGATACTGGTATTGCCCAAATATACTTTAGTTCATTTTTAACATTAATAAAGTGACCACTAAATATACTTGGGGACTTCTGGTTCTTCATATATGCTTTGTAACTATAAAGCATAAATCCTTTAAGTAAAGAGAACAAATAAGTACACTTCGTATAAGTACAGAGTATAAGTCTTTGATTTAGGACACCGTGACATAGCTGATGCTGTTCCCATTGTTCATCAAGGAAGATTGAACATTCCATTGAGAGCATGATTAGTAAAAGGCTTAGTTAATGAGCTTTATTTGTTCTCAGATCATGTTTTCTATTGCCTTAGATGCATGACTTAAGTGGTTAAAAATCCGTGTGTGATGAGGATATGACGCAAGGCCACTGATGCAGGTTCAGTAAGCTGTTCACGAACAGCATCTCTCCCCAAGATTTTACGTCGTATCTGTCATTTCCAACAGAAACACTTGTTTGTCAGTGTCCAGTATTCTGAGGCCTTTTTCAAATTTTAGCCAGTTAGCGATTGAATTTAGAATGAGCTCTGATGAGCAAAATTCATGTTAACTTATGAAAACTGGTATGTAAAGGAGCGTGTGAAGGAGCTACCAACATGAGAGAATGTGGGTGCATAATCTTGACGACTTGACATAACATAATTGTTAAGTAGAAAAAGAATAGTTACCCTGGTAACTGTCACATCAGACAAGATGCATTTATCAAGTATGCTATGCCCTGAACTTTTGAAAATAATAAAAGAGTCATTACAATTGGGGGTAGAAAGGGTTTCTGGGTGCAAAAGACATCTTGAATTTATTCAGTATTGCTTCTTTTTTCAAAGAGTTCTTTGCTGCTGCTGTGAGAATGGAACAAAGTAGAAGTGTTTATACCATTGTCTGATAGAATTGTGTATTTGCTTCTTTGTATGTCTGTAAAGGGTTGTCATCTTATGTCAGGTTTTTGTGTTTAGTTGCACACTATTTACAGTCTGTATCGTGCTGAGCACAACTCATTTACTTAAAATATTAGCTTTCTGTCATTTTGATTCCTCACTTCTTCTACACTACTTAGTCATAACAGCATTTGAAATATTCAAAGTTTCTATTCTAATTTGGGGGAAAAAAAGCTTCTCTACTACAGAAAACTTGTAGTAACATGCCATTAGTTGTATCTGTGAAGGCCACCAGAGACCTTCACTGCAGAAGAGGTCCATCCCCACAGTGTTAGTCTGTTGTAGGGAGTCCCTACATGTCCAGTTAGGAAGTGACATGATCGCACTTACTGTGGTTGATTTGGCATTTGTAGCATTCTAAATTTCCATGTCACTGGTTTTTGCTTAAAAATAGCTTTAAAACTAGAGTGATGATAGTTATAAGATATGATATTTATTAAATGTGCATCGTTTTTGAATGCTGCATTTGGTAGACAGATGGTAGGTCCTGTCCTTAAGGAGTTGTTACCCTGAACATTAAGTGGGGCACATATAAATATCCAAAGAGACTTAGATCATTTTGCTATTTTGTGAAGATATATCTTCTCCTTTACCCCCAAAATTATTCTTTACTTTCGTCCTGTCTATTCTAAAGGCAGGAAGTAAAGAAGACATTGCCAGAAAGAACCCGCACCGTGCTGAATACCGCTTATTCTTCAACTGACTGTCCTATGCTTCATTCTTAGGATTTGAATAAGTCATCCTGGGATGAGGGCAAAGAAGGTCATCACTCTGATGGCTCCTTTCAAGGGGTGTTTAGTTTTCTCTGCTTCTATAGCTACACACATCGCTGAGTAATGGACAACCTGGATGAACTCCAATCTGCTACTTAAAAATACACCACCTCCCTTCCTTTCAACCCCCTGCAAAATGAAAGAACAACCAAGTAAATAATAAATTTCCATAGATTTGGCAGTATGATTTGGAAGCTCTCTACTTTTTATACTAGGGCAAATGGGTTGGTGAAACCAGATCGTTCTCTCAAGAAGTATAACATTTTCTTTCTTTTAGCTCCTTTAAAGTTTTAAATATATTGTTAGGGAGATGTTTGGGAGTTCAATGAGTCACCTTTTTCTCTTCGGTTAATAGACATATCCAGTTCAATCACATGGTGGAAATTATATGGGTCAAAACGTTCACCAAGTTACTGTTGCCCAAAGCTACAGCCTGGGACCAGACCAGATTGGTCCACTCAGATCTCTGCCTCCAAATGTGAATTCCTCCATGCCAGCTCAGCCTGCTCAAGCTCCATACTTAAGGTAGGTTTTGGGGACTGTGTTAAGTTTGTAATTACATACGTTAAATATTCACAGACTTTCAGAATGAGAATAAATAAACCCTTCTCTTTGTAATAATACTGCTATCCTTTACTATTGAGATAAAGTTTATAGCGCTGCCCATTTATAATCCCATGAAGTAAGAATTGTGCTGCCCTTAACTTTGCTACTCATACTGAGATGGTTATCCATGGCTTACAGTCTGGGTCCCCGGAACAAAATAAAGGTAACTGTCCCGTACTGGAACCTAGCCCACGATCTATTCTAACACACATGTACCATAGCCCTGTGCTGTAAGCAGCCTCGCAAAGTAGTCCCAGACTTACTTATCAGTGTACACACCTAAATATCAGAAAACTTGTTATTTTGACTCTTAAAAGAAGTGTGTTTGAGCTGTGGAATTTGTGGTCTAATTTTTTATATTAACACTTCTCTGAAAATCATGTTAAATCTTGCCTTCTTTTACCTTTGTTAGTCACACAAAATGTGCATTCAATATAGTCATGTGTGGATGATCTCTAAGCTCTCTCCTCACTTTTAAATTCCATTATTGTAACTTTTAGATACCTGAAAATTAAATAAACCGTTCATATTGGTATTCAGTTAAAATGTCAAGTGTTATCCTGAAGGAGACTTAGGGCTGTTATGGAGAAGAAACAGGTCACGTGAACATTACTCCTCCTGTACTGTAAGCGGTGTATTTGGTTTACTATAAAATTGTATGTCTTTTAAGATAGATGTGTGTAGTTATAGGAGCAAACCGAAGTCCTGCAATTTGGTGTGATTTTTCAGCTTAGTTGTCTTTTTAAACAGTGTTAATAAGTAAACTCTAGGTCAGGACTGTCTTGCAGCGAGATTAAGGATCCTGTGTGGCGTGCACCATCCTCCTTGCCATCTCTGATTTTATTATGCAGGTATCAGGATAACCATTAGGGCAGCTTCGAGATGCCCCACAAAGGACGGTGTAAAGACTGTGACAGGAAAAGAGGGGGACTGAGAGGGGCAGGGAGAGTGTGGGCTGGCAGTGCACTTGAGCTGGGCTTGGTTCTCATTGAAGTTGGCCCAGTATACCGCTGTCAGAAATAATCAGCATCTCCTCAAAAGATTTTTAAATGATTTCAGATTAAGTGGGTCTTACAGTCTTGTATTTTTTACTTTTTGAATACGTTCTTCTTAGCAGATATAAAAATTACATTAACTGTTGGATAGGTGGAGTGAGTAAATCATTATCAGACTAGCACAGCTGGTAAACTTAAAAAGAAAGAAAAGGCATTTTTCATTTTCTCAGGATGATTGATCTCTGACCATAACCTAGATAATGCAAAGTAAATATGATTTTCTTTTTAAAATTTTGTTTGTAGCACTGGACAGGACACTCTTTCCAATCCTGCTTACATGGACCAGGCAGCCGCTGGCACAGCCGCTTACGCTCAGCAGAGGGGGCTGGCTCTGGGCCTGCCATCCTACCCGGCCACCGTGTCCAGTCTGCCGCCGCTGGCGGGCTTTCCGGCGGCAGTTCCAGCTCATGCAGGTGCACAGCAGCAAACAGGTTACCATCAGCAGCCTCTCCTTTAGAGACAACCCATGCGTTTCGTTCAAAGCCTTCATATATATGTATTATTTGACCATTATGATTCTAATCTGAAAATACTGAAAGAAAAACATTTTTCACAACTAAAAAGGACAGACCATGAATAAATAAAGCACAAAACCTTCTTACTCTACTAGGCCATAAAAGGGTTTTTTTCCACTCGTTTGTTTGAAGTCAAACTTTTGAACAGAGGCAGCTTCAAGTTGTTTCCAGTTGATTTTGTCTGAATTTCAAATTTCTCTACACAGATCTGGACACCCGTGGGTAGCCTTATGACACTAAACAGCATGAGAAACGTACATTTTATAAAGAACCCACCCTATACCCCCCAAACATTGTGACGATGGGGAGAGTGCTGAAACCTTTAAATATATTTTGTATGCATATTTTTTCAGTTTCCTACACACCACTATTTTAAAAGGTGACCATCTTTTTTTTGTGCATTTAGCTTGCCAACATACTTCCTTTTGGCTCCTCAAATTGCAGTTGTATTTGCAATACTTTCAGTTTTGCTCTCAGTGTATGTTGAGTAATAATTAGCATGTAATTGTCTGCAGAAGAGCTGTTTGGAAGGATCAAAAATATTTTGTTATTAATAGTGAAGACCATGTCAATGCAGATGTGTGACAAAGCATTTAGCTAGTCCTCCCTTCATGCCATTCGTGGGCTAAGAAATGCCCCGTAAACCATTTCCATTACCTGCAGAACAACATTTATTTTCTTACAAGGGTCCCTGGTATTTAGAATGGCCACTACATGGACCTTTTCCAATGACTTTGGTCATTCTGTAATGAAGACAGGGTCTGTTGTGTTCCTTCATACACTGCATCATGCAGAGATGCTGCATTTCCTTTTTACAGACGACATGTGAACTTGAGCCATGAGGCAAACCTAATAATTTGATGTGATGTATGCCAGTCGTTAAGTGTGGTTTTGTTGATACGTTGCTTCTTTACAGAGGTGATGCGAGTACCATTGCTCTACCAGGCTGTCGAAAAAACTGGCCATTCTTTTCAGGAGTAATTCTGAGTCTGTGGAATAACAACCAGCAACGGATTGACAGGGAAGCTCTTGAGACAGTTTTTCTGAAGCTTACATTTTAAATTAGTTTATAATGCTAATAGATTCCACTTTAGAAGTCAGTAACTCAGTAGGGACTATCTTCTCTCTAAAAATTTGCACACTACTGTATTGTCTAGCACTTTTTTAGATAACACAAAATAGAAAACAAGCCATAGTAGAAGTAGTAAGCTGTATGTTATAGAAACACCAGCAGGCCCCCCAATGTTATTTGTAGGAACAATTGATGTTAAAACTATATTCAAATTTTGATTTAAGAATTTTTGAGATGTAGTCAAACTATCCAAAGTTTCTTTGTATAAAAGAGGCAGCATCAAGAGTTCTAACTTTTTGATAGAGAAGTCTGTTAAATTTATATCTGAAAAAAGGAAATGCAAATACCTATGCTTACAGATACATAACAACTGGAAAAATGATGGACATGTTTATTTTTTTAAATGATAATTGTATGGAAGCAAGATTTCTGCATTGTTTTTTTTAATAGGACTCTGTAGTAGAAAGATTACCCTTAATCTTTTGTCATTTGCTATTTGAAGAAACTTGATTCTAAATATATTGCTCCCCCCACCCCCCCCGCCCAAAGAAACTGTATCCTACAAGAAATTAGTCCATGTACTACTTGGTCTTCATTTAAAGGGAAAAACAGTTAATATTGGACAGCCCAGTTTCTGTCATTCTCTTATTTTAGATATAGGGAACAGGAAAGAAAGTTTTAACCTTTAATGCTTCGTGTTCTGTTTTTCATTCCATATTTCTTTTCCATCCATGTGAATTCAATGATAATACTTACAGAAAATTCTAAAATGGCACCTTACTTTCTGGAAACAAATCTGTTCTTTTTTTAAAGACTACAAAGCATAAAAAACATTTACAAAGCTGCTCTTGATAATAATGTTTTCATATATATGGAAAATCCTTTTTCCCAAACAATATTTAATAAACAGTTATTTTAATATTGGTGTAAATATTTCATGTATAATTTTTGGTGGAATTGTAAAAGCTTAATTTTGCATAAGTCTGAGCTAGTCTGAATGCTTGCACACCCCCTAAATCGGGGTCAGTCAGTTTAGTTCACCTAATGTAGTTTTTGAATAATGTAATATGCAACATGTATATAAATAGTATATATTGGCATTTATCTGTGAAATTTTATATATTCAGAAGTTTTTTCTCCCTCTTAAATTAAAAATAATTTTATTTTTGTCATACTGTAATGAAATTTGTGTTGCAGGTTGTTGATAGTATAAAGATGTTAAATCAGTGTAGCGAGATATTTTTAGTGTTAAGAAATATAGGTTTATTATTTTTCTTTTCCATAATCTAATGGATTGTATTTATTTTCAAACCTGTTTATAATTAAATGTTTTCTGCCAAAGGAACTGTCTAACATCAGATTTCTACATTGGGTTCATACTTACTGTTTTTATATAAAAAATAAAAGTAACTTCTGCTTTTTCACATAAAATCTTGGTACGTGAGAAAGAATTTCTGAAAATTAAAATAAAGTTTTCATTAATGTAGAAAACTTCCCCTGGTGTTAAAGTATGTGAAGTGGGATGTGTTCTCACAGTGTGGAAATGCAGTCTACCAATACTTTCTTGGGATTTGGTGACTTATTTATAAAATTATCTGAACATGAAAAAATTGTAACATTTATCAGGATTTGAAATTATTTGCAGATACATTGTCATCATATACTATTTCAGTAGTTGGTTTTTGACCACATAAATTTCACTGTACATTTTGAAGATTTGATGATTAGTTATAAAACTTTGCCTTCCATATTATAAAATCTTGATTTTAAATGTTTAAAAAGTTATGGCCTAGGGACTTATAAAAAAGTTTTTTCTAGTGCAATAAAAATTGTATACCAAGGCTCCTGACTTCTGGGAGAGGATGGATTTGTTGAATTGTTACCATGACAAAGCTGGAGTTATTTTTGTAGGTGACAGGTTGTAAAGAATATAGTACCAATCTGTCTGTCATGCTTAGTTTCTGTCAAAAGACATTTTTCTTATTTGCTTACATGAGTCTTTAGCTTTTAGTTAAAAAATAAAGGGAGGACTCAATTCTAAGGATATGACTTTTTTTGATTAGTTTTAGCTTCTTTTGAAGATTAAACATTTATTTTTAAAAGCTTTCCCAGAGGAATTACTTTAATTTTACCAAGTCGAATTTGAATTAGACCTTTTAAAAAACATTACTGTGTCAGAAAGAGAAATTATGTTGCTTACATAGTCTAATGGGATAAATAGTGTCTCTCTGAAATTCATGTTCACCTAGAATGTCAGAATGTGACCGAATCTGGAAAAAGTCTTTGTAGGTAATCAGTGAAGGATCTTGAGGTGACACCGTCCCGGGTTTGGGGTGGGCCCTACAGCCAGTCACTGGTGTCCTTATAAAAAGAGGACACGGAGCCGCAAGGCAGTGAAGAGGGAGGCCGGGAGTGTAGTTACGCCCCACAAGCCAAGGACTGCCTGGGGCCACCCGCAGTCACAGGAAGAGGAAGTAAGGAGTCTTCCCTAGGGCCCTAGAGGGGGCACCGTCTTCCTGATTCCTTCAGCTCAAATTTTTAGCCTCTAGAACTGAGATAAGAAATTTATGTCGTTTGAAGCCACAGTTTGAGGTGCTTTGTCATACCAGCCCTAGGAAACTCATAAACATAGATAAAAGTATACAGCAGAATCTGAGTACCTAGCTTTCTAACCTTTTATAAGATTTGGTGATTACTTATAAAATTGTCACAAGAGTTCTGAGACAAATGTCCTGTAGCAGCTGTTTTGTTTTTTAAACTATAATGGAATTGCATGGATAAATGAAACCAAACCCTGGGTTACTCCCATAACCCCATTTTTACTAATGTTTTAATATGTCATCTGCATTTCAATAATTGATTTCTTTATGCCAGAGGTGTTAAATTGTAACATTTACTGCTCATGCTCCTGCCCGTCTTGCGTGGTGGGTGTTAAAGGGAGACGCTGGAGGTTAAGCAGAGAACAGAGGAGAAGCGACTGGGTGAATGTTCCCCACAAAGCCTATTGAAGATGGAGTTTGGTTTGTTTTAATTTCACACCATCTAGTATCCTAAAGAGGAATACAAAGGCTTTCCAGTATCTTCACAGCAAGTCAGTGACCTCTACTGATTACATTTTGGTCAAGAGAGCCAGCTAACTTATTTTAAAAATTGAGGTGACATCGTATACCATTTAAAGTGGCCATTTCAAAGTGAGCATGATTCAGGCGTTTAGTACATTCACAGTGTTGTATAACCACCACCTCTAGTTCCAAAATTAGATCTGTGTCTTTTTTTTTTTTTTTTTCGCTTAAGCCTAATGTTTCTGAGGTTCATCCCCACATAGACCACGTTATATGAGGTTCATGTACCACAGCCTGTATATTGAGTCATAGGTTGGTGGAGACCTGGGCAGTTTCCACGTTTTGGCTGTTCTGAATAGTGCCGCTATGAATGTGTGTACCTGTATTGAGTACCACTTTTCAGTTCTTTGGGATATATGCTTAAGTGGAACTACTGGGTCATACAGTAATTCTATGTTTAATTTTTTGAGGAACTGCCAAACTTGCACAGCTGAGCCATTTTACATTTTCACCAGCAATGACAAATGTTCCGATTTCTCTACATCCTCACCAAGACTTATTTCCATCTTTTTAAAAAATCCTCATGTGGCATTTTTTCATTGCTTTTAGAAAGACAGGAAGTGGGCAGGGAGAGAGAATGTGAGAGAGAAGCACTGACTGGCTGCCTTCTTGTACGTGTCCCAACTGGGGATTGAACCTGCAACCTGGGTATGTACCCTGGCCAGGAATCAATCCCACAACCTTTCAGTCTACAGCACAATGCTCCAACCAAGTGAGCCACACCACCCAGGGTGTTATTTTCTATTTTTTAAAATTATAGCCATCCTAGTGATGTTGAAGTGGTACTTCATCATTGTTTTAATTTGTATTTTCCTAATGAGTAGTAACATTGAGTATCTTTTCACATACTTGTTTGGCCATGTGTATACGAGGGGGGACCTAAAAAATACCTGAATTATCCTTTGCAGGGCAGGCCCCTTGCAGTACAGGCTTCCCCCACTAGGTGGGTGTTCTAGGAACCCATCTGCATCAGGGTACCAGCTGGTGTTGTGAGAGGCCGAGTTCAGCTTCAGTGAATTTCTTTGGAAGACTTTCATTGCGTTTTGCCCATTTCATGATGGGTGATTTACAAGCGCACCTGGCCACACTGCACTGAGTGTTCAGCAGTTATTGACCAAAAACAGCATGACCCCTCTACCCCACCCCACCCCGTGCCCCACCTTCCCTATTCACCCGATCTCATTACAAATGACTTTGTTTCCCTGGATGAAAAAAGTCTTCAAAGGGAAACATTTTGCCGATGTGGAAGAGGTGAAACTGAAAACAGCAGAAGCAGTAAAAGGCATCAAAACTGATGAGTTCGAAAACTGTTTGGAGCAGTGGAAAAAACGTCTTGATAGGTGTATTGCATCAAACAGAGTACTGTGAAGATGACAAATTTAAACATGTAAGAATGAGTACACAATTTTTAATAAATAAATTCCAGTTTTAGGGGTCCTCCCTTATATCTTCTTTGGAGAAGTATCTATGTAAATCCTTTTCCCATTTTTTGAGTTGTTTGTCTTTTTGTGGTTGTCTTTGTTCTTTAGGTCTTCTTTATGTACTAGACCCTTACTAGATACATGATTTGCCAATATTTTCTTCCATTCTGTAGGTTATTTTTTTCTTGATGATGTTCTTTCATATGCACAAGTTGTTAATTTTTATGAAGTCCAGTATATCTATTTTTTCTTTTGTTGCTTATGCTTTTGGTATCATATCTAAGAGTCCTTTGCCAAATCCAGGGTCATGAAGATTTCCTCATTTTCTTCTAAGAGTTTTATGGTTTTAGCTCTCATAATTAGGTCTCTGGTCCATTCTGAGTTAATTTTTGTACATGGTGTGAGGGAGGCGTCCAGCTTCATTCTTTTGCAGGAGATAGTTACCCCAACACCATTTGCTGAAGAGACTGTGTTTTCACCTGCCCCTTTTGGACGCTGCTGTCACATACCATCACGGTAGTCCGCTCTGAGTTTTCCAGCTGGGGTGGATCAGCCCTGTAGCTGTCTAGTGTGCAGGTTTACAGAGCCTTGTCCTCATCTGATCACTGCTGTCATGTATCTAAAGGGGAGTCAGTGGATGTATCTTGTTAGGATGTAGCTCCCGGTGATGAAAATCGAATGGATAGATGTGTTAGGTAACAGTATATAGAGGTGGTTTTTAGCTGTTGCATACTTTTTTTCCTTCCAAGGAACTTCAGACAAATATTTTGAAAAATGCATTGTTTAAAAAGAAAAATGGGACTTAAAACCCCAGCCAAAAGTAACCCTATTTCTTTCCTGGGAAACCCCCAGGGATTTTTACCTGTGTGTCATTGGTCAGAACCGGACCAAAAGGCTATTTACTTAGTGGCAAGCGAGTCTGGGAAAGCGAGTATTTTGCTTTCCAGACTCTAAATAGAGAGAAGGCAGAGGAGAGGATTGGGAATGAAAACAGTTCCATTATGCAGAATCCGTCCTGGTCCAGTATGCTTCCAGTGTGGTCAGTACGAAGTCAGATCGCTCTATTGCTATTCCACGGTCAAATAAGCTCTTGTTAAGATTCTCTGATATAATAAGCAAACCATCGCTTTTAGTCAATAAAGACTAGAATTAATATAAGTACACTTGATCTGATTGTTACAGTGGAGACTTTTTTTTAATTGGATTAATTTATTCTAACAAAAGTACAAAGTATGGAAAATTAGTGTGTCTGAATCACTTCAGAGAGTAGAGAAAGCTTCACGCTAGCAGACTGGACTTTCAGCACCTTTGAGCAGAGAGACTCGGAGTTGAGGCAAGTGGCGGTCCAGGCCTTCAGCGGCCTGAGGAGAACAAGTCTGATGGAGGGTGTGCATGTGCTGACCACAGAACGGTGTGGTCACTTGGGTTTCTTCTCTACAGTTTCAGAGTGCCACAGAAGCACAAAGAGAATAGGGAAGGTGTTCACTGAGTTCACGGCTGGTGGTTAACAAAGATGGAAGAGAAATGCTGAGACAAAAGGGGGAAGAGCCCAGGCGAACGAGGAGGTCAGGTGGACAGTCTGAAGGTGCTGACGATGCAGACTTGTTCTCCCATCACTGGTGCAGCTCCCATCAGGAGAGAACCAGAAGCAAGAACTTGCCTGTGTAATCCTGTTCTGCATAATATACTTAAATGGTTTTCCCAGCTTGGTGAGTTGGCTTAAGTCTGTTCTACCATACTTGTGGTCCACTGATTGACTTTGCTGTGCTGACAGGTATTGCCATCAATGTCACTTTCTGTAGCCTCTTTTACAATGTTGCTCACGTCATCCACAACAAAAGCATTCTCTTCTGCAGCCTGGAAGTCTTCCATCCTTTCTCTGGCATGTTGCCTCCCTAAAACTGAGACTTTTTTTTTAAAGACCTTCTCAAGAGAGACACAGTAGTTCCTGCAAGTGGAGATGGGTATAAAAGTTTCAAACTGCTGTCTCTTCTATTTCAAAACAGGTGAGGAAATTTAAGACTTATTAGCAGTCATTAATTTATTCCACAACATTATTATTTGCCGGGATACTAAGAACCTGAGTTTCCAAGCCCGAGTTGTATCTGTGGCTTTGCCACATGCCAACTAGTTGTATAATGGTAGACATTGCACTTTGACTTGACTGGAAACCATTTCCATACATACTGTCATTGAATTCTCATAACACTTGTTAGGGAGAGAGGCAGATGAAGAGACGAATCTTCACAAACTAGTAAGTGGCAAAGCTGGGGTTCTACCCCAGGCTCTGGCTGACATGCAAGCATGTGCTTTGGCTCACTATACTGGTGTGACTATTACCTAGGAATAATTGTGTGATAAGGTTGTCAAGTAATATGCTGTAACAGCTTCCTTCCCCAC